CAAATAAAATATATATGATAGGTCTATCTGCCTAATATTCCTGCCAATTCATTCTCTGGGTGTGATTAAAATGAGCAATAAATTCCTCGTGAGTCTCGGTGGAGTGAGGATCTGGGAGTGGAGATGGAGGCTGGTATCACACATCCCCTCAACTGAATATTCATCATGGAATCGCTCCCCATATTTCTGTTTTATCTGCCATCATGTGCAGAGACATATATTTCTATCTCTCCTTCGTGTCTTAGTTAAGATGTGAAAATGGTGTAAGCTTTAAGTATTAAACTCTCCAACTCCTGAAATCCTTCATAGTGAGATCACAGGCTACGTCCTCTATGAAACCTGCATGCTTGTCTGCATGGCAGTGATTCAGCCTCTCAGGGCCCCACCAACTCTGTGTGGACCGCCTTCAGCACAAGGCAGCCTGTGGGTTTTCTAGCTGAGAGCACCTGCTCTCCTCAGCTAGATGGCAAGCTCAGGGGACTGGATCTCATTCACCTCAGGACCTCGTTGGAGGCTGGGAGGCATGAAAGCTATAATATTCAGGACTGCGGAGAGAAGTGAGGGAACCAGTTGGTGAGGAGAAAACCATTCAGGACACAAAAGTCTGACAGAGATTCTTAGGACTAGTGACACCAATTTAAAAGGTAGAATGTAATTTGAAATTATGCTTATAATTGGAAGGTATTTGGACCCCTAAAACTATTGTCCTTTAAATCTTAAACCACAAATGTCCCCTAAAGTCTTCTTTAAACTGAACAATAGTTTAGCTTAACTAGTAAAAAGGTTTGCCTAGAGCATTCTGCTCTGTCTATATGGGATCAAATTGATAACAGCAACTCAAAAGATTAGACAAGAACCTTAGGGAGCAGAAAAGGGTGAGAACAGTTGTACAACTTGAATAATATAATCAATATCACTAAGTTACACATGTAGAAACTGTTGAATTGGTGTGCACGTTGCTGTGTATATTCTTAACGACAACAAAATAAATAAAATTTAAGGAAAAAAATTATGCTTATGGATAATTTTTAAATCGGGAACTCATCAAGAAATACTATTAAATGAAAAAAAATCTGACTTCAAATTGATATCTAGGATCATAATGCAAACACCTTCAGGGCCAAGTAGAAAATATAAATGTCTGTTAGGTAGTGTAAACTATCACTCAATTCACAATAAACACTTAAAAAAAAAAAAAAAAAAAAAAGTCTGTCAGGTAGGAATATAATACAACAGGGAATGGTATGGAGCCTACTACGGTTGGGGAGTCCAGGCTAAGGTATTAAATTCAAATGAAAACATAACCTGTGTTAGCAAAACAAAACATGATTGCTAGTGTGAGACCCTGTGGTATACATAGAGTAGGATGTCATCCATATTAAAAAGGAAAGAAAGAAAAAGCCCAACTATATAAATATATATAGTTATACAGTATAGTTATAATCCAGAAAAGGCAACTACAGTATCATAAGAGGAAAGCTCTGGGTTAAGGCCTTATTATAATCACTTAGAATAGCTAGATTGTATCTAAGTCATTTGCTTTCTCTCTTACAGCTTCAATCTTCCTGTCTATAAAATAGGGGTAATAACAGTTACATCATAGAGTTGTTACAGAATTAGAAAAAAAATTAGTCACCTGGTAAAAAGTGCCCAGTTATCTTCACTAAATGGTAGTTATATCAGTAAAAATAAAAATACTAATAGTGGCTATGTCTAGGAAGTAGAGTTAAATGTCTTTTCTTGAGATCCATCTCAGATGTCTCTCTTCTAGGAGCCCTTCCTCAATCTCCCAGGCAGGATGAGATGCCACCTCTGGGTGCCCACAGTCCCTCAGTGATGTCATGGTTTACTTACCTATTTCCCCAACAGACTCTGAGCTCTTTGAGTGTTTTACTTACCTGTCTTTCTTCCATCTAGCCCAGGGCCTGGCTTGTGAATGCCATTAATAAATAGGTACTCAATTATTTAATTCTGTTCACTATCCTTGTCACTACTTTCTAAATTTTCGGTAATGAGCAGCTGTGACTTTTGTAGTTATAGGAAGACATGTGCCTACAGAGTGGCAGGTGAAGATGGAGGAGGTTGAGTTGGTGGTAGAAGAATGCTGGAAGGATAGAAGGGGGTAGTTAGGTAAGATCCAAGTAGCAGCAACCCAGGTCTAGACAGAGTCAGGAGATGGTGCTTCAGGCTCAGTCATTATGTTACAGAATCAAGGCCTGGAGTCAGAGCGGGGGCAGCTGCTTGGAAACTGCCTCAAAATTTTGAAGACATTATTATTTGCAGGTTGGAGAAAAAACAATAAAAAAACGGAGCAGAAAGCAACCAAGTCGATGCTAAGCAGCTGAGAAGAAGAAAATGCTGCTGACATTCTGGGCAGAGTTGAAGGCTGGTCCACATGGATAAAATCTGAGGGGACACGGAGCAGTTGAGTAGATGTGCTCAGTGGGCAGCTAGACATTCAGGATGGAGGGAATCCAGAAGCATGAAGAAATCAAATGTACAGAGGCTAGCAACAGATGGGATGGTCTTCTAGTTTGGAGGCTACAGAGTCCCTGGACTGGCTCTAAGTGGTCATCTGGCCTCTAAAAGCAGCCCTTCCACTGTGAGACTGCTGTTAGGGAGCTCTTCCTTGCAGCTGCTGCCCACAGAGTCTGGTCCTGTCCTAGCTTTGCCATGGAACGAACCTCATCCGCTCACACACAGTGGTTCCCGTGCCTCCTCTGTAGGCCATATGCTCCTAATGCCTTCAGCTTTTCCCCATAGCACAGGGATCCAGTTCCTCTAGGCACTTGTATCGCCCTCCTCTGCACCGATTCTAAGGAGCTCAATGCCCTACTTGGAATGTGGTATCTGCAATTGCCCTAGGCACTTCAGACAGGGTCTGACAGGCACAAGGAACAGCAACTGTCATTTGATCATTCTGAGCACTAGACTTGTAGTAATGAGGCTGACATCAAACCACTGGGGCAGCCAAATCTTGTTTTAGGGTTCCTCAGTAGCCCTAGTTCTTCCACCTGCGCTGGAACTAAAAGGCCTGTTCTCTTGCTTCACATAAACAGACCAGTGCCTGCGTTACGTCACACACCTGCCAAACATGGGTACTCTTAACCAAGGATCAGTGCTTGTCTCAGTGGACAGCAACTCAGCACTCTGACATTATTCAAAATAATGCTTAGGGATTTTCTTAAGGCATTTGGGGAATTTGGTCTGACTTCCTGGGTTGCTCTTATGGATGGAAAACCTGAGTGAAGGGAGGGAAGTAACTGTGTTCTGGATTCAGCAGCTCTTCCTGGTCCCAAGGGCCCTTTGGAATGTGTTGTGAGAGGCAGTCACTCTCCAACCTCCTTCCCTTTTCTGGAGGATACTACTCTAAGAAAATTGCTAAGGATCCCAAGGAGACAAACAATTGTATTCATTCATGTTGGTTACCAAATGTTTCCAATTCTCCCCTCCTTGGTGCAGGATAACTCACTTTTTTGGTCCTTTGTGATTTGATAGGAACATGGGATTAATTCTAGTCAATGTGATGTGAGTGGAAGTGAATGGTCCCAGTCCCAGGTGGAACATCTAACTGCAAATGTAAGACCTTCCAGAGCACTCTCTTTTCCCTCTGGCATACAACCAGAGACATCCCAGATGGTGAATGCTCTGTCAATTGGGGTCCTTGAGCGCCCTTGCTGGACCACAATAGACACATAGCGTAAGACAAAAAATAAATCTTTGTTGTTTTAAATCACTGAAATTTGGGGTTTGTTATGACAGCATAATCTAGTTTATCCTGACTGATATATAATTACATACTGAATGGAACCTCAGAAACCATTTGGTCCTATGTTTTCATTTCACATGAGGTTCATTAAGGGTAAGTGCTAGCCCAAAGGTACTCACTCAGTGAGTGGTAGAGCTGGGATCGGAACTCACATATTGTCTTAGTCCAGTCAGCTAAGTGCTTTTACTCAAGACACACAGAATACTTGCCACTAGGTGGGACCTGCCACACTGAACACTCTCAAGGCACTCAAGCCACTTTGCTCACAAGAGACTCCATAATGCTGGAAAGAACACAAGACTGAGAACCAGAAACTAGGTTTTCCAGTTCTGGTCCCACCACCAAACCTAATACATGACCTTGTGCTCAACTCCATTAGCCTCAGTGTTAATAGGGTTTACTTTGGGATCAAAGGTAAGCAGTATTTCACCTTTGGGCCCAGTTTCCTCTAGACAACTAGTCAAGGGTTCAGTGATGTAAAACTTGTAGTCCATTGAAAAGGCTACCTCAAGACAAAAAGAATGGGCCAAGTGAGTGAATTTACTGTCTATCTCTTCTTCAATCAGAACAGTTCTCTTTCCTTCTGGTGTTTTTTTTTTAATGCTTTGGTAAGATTTTCAATCACTGGACTTGATGATTTTGAGAATGGTTCTAAGGTTTGTGATTCTAGTTCTTGGATTCTGCAAGTATCTACTGAGTTACAGCTCTGTGGCTGGGAGGAGCAGGAGACTTAGCCTGTTTCTGGGAGCTGAAAAGTTTGAGAAGTTCAAATTAAGATGGAGTTGGTGTTTTATATCTTTTATTGCAGGGGGTGCGGTGGGGTTCAGATTCTAGACTGGGCTGGAGTGTGTGTAGAGGGGAGGTGTCCAAGGAATGGTTCTAGAAGAAATGATAAGATGAAAGAATTGCTGAGGAGGCTGTAGAATACATGAAGCCTATAGGAAATATTGCTTGAGCTTAACCCCCTTCTGATGAACTATAGCTGGGAAAGCTCATCACCTCAACAGCTGAATTCTAAACTGAAACCTTAGAGCCAGAAATGGGCCAGGTTTTTTCCTGGTCCTGACAGGGCAGCTTCCTGTTCTTGAGGAGAAGCGGGGGATGGATTTATATTTAAATAGACAATAATCACTTAAGGAGAAGTGGCCTTTGGCACCTGGCATACGTTTGAGTGAAAAGCCTAGATGATGCTTTTAGAGTGCCCACAGTGCCTCCTCTATCTGACACTTACCTTGGCCTCAGAACTCCTCAGAAGCTTCATCACCTCTCCTTCTCGAGCATAATCCAAGGGTGTATGTCCCATTTCATTCCTCTGCAGAGGATTGGCTCCTGGTTGGTTAGAGGAGAAGGATAAATAGAGGGTCCATGAGTGACTACTGGGATCCTTTCCTTGGAGGTGGGCTTAGAGCCCTAACATTTCAGTGTGAGGAATATTCATGGAAATATTTGACAATAAAAACCTAAGAGATTGTAGAAAGATGGGAAAACATAACAAGTCACTCTTGTGGTTCTTAGTCTAATCTAGTTATTCAGGGTATTGGGCTCCTACATATAGCATGCACACATATGCTACTCACATGGAGAAGTGCTGTACATACATGCAAATGTGTTATACACATACATGTATGCTGTGCACACACAAATATTACCGAACACACAAATATACCAGACAAATACTTGAATACTCTGTTATTGCTGGGCATTTCCTACCTACCAGAGTCATCTAGTCCTTTGGAAGGATATGGGTATCACCAGCAACCTGGCTATACCCACCCACAGTTTCTTGTCCTTAACAGTGGTAATATGTGTGTGTGTCAGAGTACATACAGGGGGAGCATTTCCTCCAATTATGTGGTTGTAATTTGAGGACAAAATATTCTGAGTAGGACCACAAAGTTAGCTGGGAGCCATGCATCCATCCACCTTGCCTCTTTAAAGTGCCTGTGGCTGACCAGCCTGTATAAAGTGACTATTTTGTGCAAAGCTTTGCAGTCATGGAGAAATGGCTACTCTGCCACTCTATGCTGTCAGCGAGGGCGCCTTGCTGTCCTCATCAAAAACGATCCATCCCATTCAATTTGGCAAACACTGAATGAATGGGGCCCGGGGACACAGAAGAATCAAATCTAGCCCTGCCCTAAAAGCACTCCTATCAAGGCAAGAAGACAGATATACAAGAGGCAAGCTGTGTCTTGTACACAACAGATGCTCAATAAGTATGTGTCAAATGGAACAAAAAGTAATAGCTAATTAGTATTCCTTGAGCTTCTTTCTGGTAGAAAGAAGTGCTAAGAAGTAATGGGCTGGCTGTGAAACGTCAATGCACAGGCAAGGCTGAATCAGCATATGACCTGGCTCAGAATCGGAGATTTTGGTTTCTTAAAGAACCTATAAAGTTACCAACCATAGTAAATATTTATTAAGCATTCATTTACAGGTGGCTGTCTGCCTGGGCTGCAGAGGAAGAAGCTACACCTCTACATACGTGTGGGAGGAGGAGGGGATGTGGGAGAAGAGGCAGAGAGCGGGAAGCACAATCCAGGTAAAGGAAACTTTTATTATCAATAAGGAAAATTTAACACTTTCATATATACTCCTATTTTAAAGGAGTTCTGGTAGTGTAGTGGTTACAAGTTGGGCTGCTAATCTCAAGGTTTGCAGTTTGAAACTACCTGCGGTTCTGCAGGAGAAAGATGAGGCTTTCTGCTCCCATAAAGATTCACAGCCTTGGAAGCCCTATACAGGGTCACTATGAGTTGGACCTGCAATACAACCACCAACAACCCCCACCTATTTTAGCTATTTTAAAATTGAAATATATAATTGACATATTATTCAAAGACCATAAAATTAAACCCTTTTAACAGTGAAAGACTCAGTGGTTTAAAATACATTTACAATGTTGTGCAATCATCATCCCCATGTAACTCCAGAACATTTTCTTCATTCCAAGGAGAAACCCTGTACTCTCCGTCTCTCCACATTCTACCTTGTCCCCAGCCCCTAGTAGTCATTCATCTACATTCTGTCTCTATGGATTTGTCTATTCTGAAAAGTTCTATGAATAGAATCATGTTTACGTGGTCTTTTCTCACTTAGCTTAATGTTGAAGGTTCATCCATGTAACATGTATTAGTACTTCATTCTTTTTATGGCCTAATTGTATGGCCATACCATATTTTATTTATACATTTATTAGTTGATGGACACTTGGGTTGTTTCCACTCTGGTTTAAAAATTTTTTTCTTATACTCAACTAAATTGAGTGAAGGTTTACAGAACAGATCATCATATACTTTATTACAATGCCTGCAATCCACTCTATTTACTTCTATTCACTTTAACTCTTGCATTCCTCCCTGTGTCTCCCAAGACCTTCATATTTCCTCTGTCAACCTCCTCTGGTTGTATGTTGCCCATATTAACATGGGTCTACCCTATAACCTGTGAATAATTTTCCCTTGCCCATCCTCATAACAATCATAGACTGTTTCTTTTATCAAAAAAAAAAAACCTTTTCACTTTTTACTTTTGTGATTGACTAATTTCACTCAGCATAATGTCCTCCAGGAGCATTCATGTTGATGTTATTCTTCAGCGTTAGATAGTATTCCATTGCGTGTATGTATCAAAGTTTAACCATTCTTCTGTTAATGGGCATTTAGGCTGTCTCCAGCTTTTTGATGGGTCTCTTGTAGACAGCATATTGAAGGATCCCATTTTCTTAACCATTCTGTTACTGTCTCTTTACTGGTGCATTTAACCCATTTACATTCAGTGTAATTACGGATATGACTTGATTGTTGTTACTTTGCTGTGTGCTTTTATTTGTGTGGTGCTGCTGGTTTCTTTGTTCCACAGAATTTTTCATGTTGAGTTCATTTTGGTTGTGGATTTTCTTTTTTAATTTCCGTTTATGTTGTGTTAATATTTGCTAAATATTTCTGATTTTCTTCTTTTTTATTCTGATGTGAAGGTATATTGATTTTCTTTGAGGTTACCCTATAATTTACTAATTTTTTCCCACTCTTTTGCTATTATGAATAATGCTGATATAAATATTCAAGTACAAGTTACTGTGTTCTCATTTCTCTTGGGTATACAGCAGAGTGGAATTGCTATCATATGGTAACTATGTTTAATCATTTGAGAAAATACCAGACTGTTTTTCAAAGTGGCCATACCATTTTACATTCCCATGGCAGTATATGAGGATTCTGATTTATCAACATCCTCACCAACATTTGTTATAAATATTTTTGAAAGTCTGATCCATCCTAGTGGTGCAAAGTGGTATCATACTCATTCAGGGTTTGATTTTCACTTCTCTAATGATTCACAACCTCAGAAACCCTATAGAGGGTCGCTATGAGTTGGAAGTGATTGGACAGCACTTAACAACAACAATAATGATTAATGAGGGGTCCTGGTCTGGTGCTGTAGGATAAGCACTGGAATGCTAACCTCAAGGTTGGTGGTTCAAAGCCATCAGCCACTTCTTGGAAACCCTATACAGGGTCACTATGAGTTAGAACCAACTCAAAGGCATGTAACAACAACAATGATTAATGAAGGCGCCCTGGTGGCACAGTGATTAAGTGCTCAACCGCTAACTGAGAAGCTGGCAGTTTGAACCCATCGGCCACTCCATGGAAGAAAGAGGTGGCAGTCTGTTTCCTAAAGGTTTACAGCCTTGGAAACCTATCAAGGCGTTCTGTCCTATGAGGTTGCCATGAGTTGGAATCAATTCAGTGGTAGTGGGTAATGATTAACGATACCAAGCATCCCATGTACTTACTAGCTACTAATAAATCTTTGGAGAACATCTAGTCAAACTTGTTATCCATTTTAAAATATGGTTATCTTTTTATTGTTTGGTTGGAAGAGTTCTTGATATAGTCTGGACACTAGACCTTTCTCAGATGCATGATTTTCAACTATTGTCTTCCATTCTGTGGTGTCTTTCCACTTTTTTCCCTTTGAAACATGTTACATGGGGGCTTCAAAAAGTCTCAAACAGTTAAGATGCAACTATTGGTCTCTCCACATGCAGAGAAAAGAAGGGTGATGAAATTTGAAGAAACTTGGAATCAATTAGTCGAATGGACTAACAGAACATGTGAACATCAGTCTCTATGACTCTGAGTCCAGAAGAACTAGATGGTTGGTGCCTGACTTTTACTACCAACTGCTCTGAAAGGAAGCACGTTAGAAGATCTCCAATAGAGTAGGAGGAAATGTAAAACAAAATTTACTGCTCAGAAAGAGACTGGATGAAACTAGAACTATGGCCTTCAGCCAGCTTTCAGACCTGAAATGGAACTCACCCTTGTAGCCCAATTTTCCGCCAAGCAGTAAATAGGTATAGAGGGGGGACAACACCACTAGTAAGGTATGCTCACCATGGAATGGCCAATCATTCAAGATAAAAAAGGCAACATTTACTTACGGACAAAGTTCAGAAGAGTTAGGAAAAAGGTGGAATGGAAACAAGAACTATAGAGAGGAAGTGAAACAACTGTTGTTACATGGAGGGGATTACAATCATTGAGATGAAATGCTATGAATGATTTGCTGAATGTAAAACTAATGGTCTGCTCTATAAACCTCCACTCAATTTACAATAAAAAGTTTCAGAATAAAGAAAAAGTTAGTGAAAAACTTGTATTATTTTTTAATCCCATTTCTCAAAAAAATTTTGACACCCTCTATTTGGAGTTCTGCTGTGGCACTGTAGTATAAGCACTCAACCCCGTGGTTAGTTTGAATTGCAAAGTCAGTGGTTCAAATTCATCAGCTGCTCCTCGGACGCCCTTATACAGGGTCACTGTGGGTTGGAACTGACTAGACTGCACTAATCAACAACAACAACATTTGGAGTCTTGGTATGGTGCTAGAGGATAAGCACTGGACTACTAGCCACAAAGCGGGTGGTTCAAAACCACCAGCCACTCATCGGAAACCCTATACAGGGTTGCTATGAATTGGAACCAACTTGACAGCACTAACAACAGCAAATAGAGTATTTACCACATTAGACACTGGGGACCCAATGAAGTAGGAGGCATGTGCTCATGGAACTCAGTCTACTGAGCAAGCAGACAACAGAATAACCATATGAATATATGTTCAACTAGACCTTGATCAGTGGCTTGAAGAAAGAATTCATGGGGCTATGGAACCACATGTCATGGGGCAAAGAACTGTAAAATAAATTTCTTCTACACAGCCTCCTTTCCCCCTATCCTGCTCGCTTTTCTTCCAGTCTTTGGGACAAATTGTCTCTGGCTTCCTTCCAAGGTTGAGGCCTTATAGCACAATCTCATCAG